GTTATTCTCTCTTTTCTTTTTTATTAATCTGGCTAGTGGTCTGTCTATTTTGTTGATCTTTTCAAAGAACCAGCTCCTGGATTTATTGATTTTTTGAAGAGTTTTTTGTGTCTCTATTTCCTTCAGTTCTGCTCTGATCTTAGTTATTTCCTGTCTTCTGCTAGGTTTTGAGTTTTTTTGATCTTGCTCCTCTAGCTCTTTCAATTTTGATGATAGGGTGTCAATTTTAGATCTCTCCTTTCTTCTCATGTGGGCACTCATTGCTATATATTTTCCTCTAGAGACTGCTTTAAATGTGTCCCAGAGATTCTGGTATGTTGTGTCTTCATTCTCATTGGTTTCGAAGAACATCTTTATTTCTGCCTTCATTTCATTGTTTATCCAGTCAACATTCAAGAGCAAGTTGTTCAGTTTCCATGAAGCTGTGCGGTTCTGAGTTAGTTTCTGCATTCTGAGTTCTAACTCAATTGCACTATGGTCTGAGAGACTGTTTGTTATGATTTCTGTTCTTTTGCATTTGCTGAGGAGTGATTTATTGCCAATTATGTGGTCAATTTTAGAGTAGGTGTGATGTGGTGCTGAGAAGAATGTATATTCTGTGGATTTGGGGTGGAGAGTTCTGTAAATGTGTATTAGGTTTGCTTGTTCCAGGTCTGTATTCAGGTCCTGGATATCCTTGTTGATTTTCTGTCTGGTTGATCTGTCTAATATTGACAATGGGGTGTTAAAGTCTCCCACTATTATTGTGTGGGAGTCTAAGTCTCTTTGTAAGTCATTAAGAACTTGCCTTATGTATCTGGGTGCTCCTGTATTGGGTGCGTATATATTTAGGATCGTTAGCTCTTCTTGTTGCAGTGATCCTTTTACCATTATGTAATGTCCTTCTTTGTCTCTTTTGATCTTTGTTGCTTTAAAGTCTATTTTATCAGAGATGAGAATTGCTACTCCTGCCTTTTTTTGCTCTCCATTTGCTTGGTAGATCTTCCTCCATCCCTTTATTTTGAGCCTTTGTGTATCCTTGCATGTAAGATGGGTTTCCTGGATACAGCACACTGATGGGTTTTGGCTTTTTATCCAATTTGCCAGTCTGTGTCTTTTGATTGGGGCATTTAGTCCATTGACATTTAGGGATAGTATTGTTATGTGTGAATTTGATGCTGTCATTTTGATGCTACCTGGCTGTTTTGTTGGTTAGTTGATGCAGATTCTTGATTGTGTTGATGCTTTTTTACCATTTGGTGTGTTTTTGGAGTGGCTGGTACTGGTTGTTCCTTTACATGTGTAGAGCCTCTTTCAGGAGTTCTTGTAGAGCAGGTTTGGTGGTGATGAAATCTCTGAGTGCTTGCTTGTTCACAAAGGATTTTATTTTTCCTTCACTTATGAAGCTTAGTTTGGCTGGATAGGAGATTCTGGGTTGAAAGTTCTTTTCTTTAAGGATGTTGAATATTGGCCCCCAATCTCTTCTGGCTTGTAGGGTTTCTGCTGAGAGATCTGCTGTGAGTCTAATGGGCTTCCCTTTGTGGGTAACCCGACCTTTCTCTCTGGCTGCCCTTAGCATTTTCTCTTTCATTTCAACCCTGGTGAATCTGACGATTATGTGCCTTGGGGTTGCTCTTCTTGAGGAATATCTTTGTGGTGTTCTCTGTATTTCCTGGATTTGAATATTGGTCTGCCTTGCTAGGTTGGGGAAGTTTTCCTGAATAATATCCTGAAGAGTATTTTCCAGCTTGGATTCATTCTCTTCATCACATTCAGGTACACCTATCAGATGTAGATTAGGTCTTTTCACATAGTCCCACATTTCTTGAAGATTTTGTTCATTCCTTTTTGTGCTTTTTTCTCTGTTCTTGCCTTCTCTTTTTATTTCATTGAGTTGATCTTCGGCCTCTGATATCCTTTCTTCTGCTTGGTCAATTCAGCTGTTGAAGCTTGTGCATGCTTCACGAAGTTCTCGTGTTGCGTTTTTCAGCTCCATCAATTCACTTATACTCCTCTCTATGCTGTCCATTCTCGTCAGCAGTTCATCCAGTCTTTTTTCAAGGTTCCTATTTTCTTTGCGCTGGGTTAGAACATGTTCTTTCAGCTCATTGTAGTTTCTTACTACCCACCTTCTGAAGTCTGATTCTGTCATTTCATCACCCTCCTCCATCCAGTCTGGTTCCCTTGCTGGTGAGGAGTTGTGATCCCTTTTAGGAGGAGAGGTGTTCTGGTTTCGGGAGTTTTCATCCTTTTTACGCTGGTTTCTTCCCATTTTTGTGGGTTTATCCACCTGTTGTCTGTCTCTGTCCCAGGGAGTTGGAGCTTTATGAGTTTCCGTTGCACTACTGCCTTTTTTGATTTTTCTTTCAGGTCTGACCCGCCCAGCTAGGAGCAGGCCTAGCCACTGCCTGCCCACAGGGGCTTTGCTGAGCTGCTGTGGGCTCCGCCCAGCTGCCCTGAGCGCTTCCCTGTAGTCCTTTTTATATGGGCGTAGTTAGAACTGTCTCGGCAACGGTGGCCCCGCCTCTGTTATGGCGGACTCTCTCTGTTGTGGCAGGTTGCCTCGGCAACGGCGGGTTGCCTCGGCAACGGCAGCCTGCCTCCGTAGGGGTGGAGAGTCTCAGTAATGGCGGAAGCCCCTCCCCCACGGAGCCGGACTGTCCCGGTTCAGCTGTGCTTGGTTTGGAGGGCTCAACCCAGAGGGTTTCCAATTACTGTTTTTGTTTTCGTTGTTGTTGGGGGTGGAGGGGTGGGACCAACTGAGCCTGATCACCTGGCTCCCTGACTCAGAGTCTTTTAAGTTGAACGACCCCGCGATCCGGTCGCTTGTTGAAAAGGCGCCGGGATCTCCCGTGCTGCGACTCACGGAGTCGGCTCGAACTGTGGCGCCGGCTCCTGGCGGATTTTTTTGCCTAGGAGTCTCCTGGCCTGACTCGCTATTTCAGATGAATGGGCAACTCTGCCGTCTCAGGGCTCTGCTTGCCAGCTAAGAGGGCTCCCAGACCAGTGGCTTTTGTATGGAGAACCGCAGCAACAGGGAGTGGCCACAACAGCCGCGCGGGCGGAATCAGCCCCACAGAGGCCAAAACAGCCGCACCGGCTGGGACTGCGACGCTGGCGACCCCTCTGCCTGGGTATCTCCTGGTCTGTGGGCAATAAGAGTTCGTCTGGAAATGCGGCGTCCACTCACCCTCTGCACTTTCACTGGGAGCTGAAGTCCTGAGCTGTTCTTAGGCGGCCATCTTCCCAGCATTCCCCTTCATGGCCTTCTTAATCGGGTAGCGACAATATGGGTAAGAGCTGACCAGCTCCGAGACAGGGTGGCTCAACTCTGAGAATGACGAATAGTTCCCTGACTCCGTGGACAAAGATGCCACTGTGGACACAAACTTGACAGTCCTGCTTATCAGCCTCCTCAAAGGGAGACCAAGGCAGCAGCAGATACTTGCGGGGCGGAGGTGGGAGGAGAGAGGGATATTTTAAAGAGTTGCTGGATCTGCCTTTGCTTTCCTGGGGGAGCGTTGCTAACGGCAGAATGGAGAAGGGACACCTGGAATGCGTATGTGCCCAACCCACCTAGTGCCTGTGTCACGTATCATGGCGTGGAAGAGATGATATGGGATCATGGCCTTGAACACACTCACCCTCCCATGGCTTCTTATGTGGGTTCTGCACCATCTGAGGTGCTGCGGAAGGTGAATGACCCAAGAAAAGAAGGTGCACCACCATTCCTAAGAGCCCTTTCATTCCAAAAGCCTGATGGAATCCCTTTTTCAACACCCACCCACCCGCCAAAGGGAGGTAAGGAAATGTCCTCAGCTCAAGAGAGAATCTCTCACATTTCTGAAAATGTGTCAACCACTGCTTCTGTGCTTGCTTAGGTTTGGAAGTGCAGGCAAATCAAGAAATAGGGTTCAGCCGGGCTCGGTGGATCACACCTGTAATCCCAGCACTTTGGAAGGCCGAGGCAGGTGGATTGCCCAAGGTCAGGAGTTCAAGACCACCCTGGCCAACATGGTGAAACCCTGTCTCTACTAAAAATACTATAATAGCCAGGCGTGGTTGCTCACACCTGTAATCCTAGCTACTCAGGAGGCTGAGGCAAGAGAATTACTTGAATCCAGGCAGCAGAGGTTGCAGTGAGCCAAGATCATGCCACTTGTCCACCAGCCTGGGCAACAGAGTGAGACCTCGTCTTCAAATAATTAATAATAATAATAATAGTAATAATAATAATGTGATTTGGATCCATTTCGTAAATGCCAAGTTGGCGTCCTGGTCACTAGAAATCAGTATAATTCTATTATCATTTATTGATTGCAACTCTCTTCTGGAGATGAAACTGAAGGTGAATACTGGAAGTGAATAAAACTACCCCTCTCCATCTCCCAAGGCTTAGAAAAAGTGTGTGTCAAAAAGTGTATGAGAAATTATTCCATGTTAAGCTCACACTGTGTTCTTAATACTGTGTTATAAGAAATGACACCATTCTCTCTCTGTATTTCATAGGCGTGATTTGTTTTTTCACTCTCCATGAATGACATTTTTATGAAGACCAAAGTGATGTGTGGACCTTATCGAGAACTGATACTTTATTTCTTATTGTATAAATAACTCCTCCAATAGAGATACTGAAGTTAAAAGTACCTTATGCATTCCTTCAGAGGCAGCCTATGAATTTTATGGGATCAAGTCCGAGTCCCCTTTGTGTGACTTTTTCCATAGAACTTTTGCTGCTGGATTGTCCCTTTACTCAAGGCCTTAAATTAAGTGAAAATAGGACAGCCTTGCAGACCTTTTTAAGGTATAAAGGGAGCATGGGGAGAGCCAAGGAATCAAGAATTTAAAATTAGGAAAATAAATTGTAAAAGTGGATTTCACATCTTTTAAAAAAATGCTTTCTGCTTTTGTGCATTTCTTACCCTTCTGCCTTATAGAGGCCTGCTTGTACAGCTGCTTTTCATACTGCTGATTACTAATACTGTCTGTATCACAGTATTTGTTTTTATTCCATCCTTCAGGAGATGACCTGGCTTCCACCACTTTCTGCTATTCAAGCACCTGGCAAAGGGGAACCAACCAAATTTCCATTTCCAAATAAGGTGAGATCTTGCATCCCTCAAGAGGAATATGCTTTACTCATGCAGGCATTTCTTAGTGGGCAGTGGGTTTACCCTTGATTGTCTTTTCTTCTGTAAATATTTCTGCCAGAGGCACCTGAATCTGCTCCTTAACAATTTGCAAGCACATATGTATTCATTTATCAAAGGTAGAGAATCAAGCCTCCAGTCTTACCTACACTTCTCTGCAAAATGTGATACTTACTGTAATTATCATTTTATCTAAAAAACATTCGTGAAGTTGAAATGCATCTTATAATCATTTTAAACATTCAATGTGATGTATAAAATTGTATGTCCTGGATTTTTCTGAAAAGCTGTTATTAAATTAATGATATATCTTAAAATCAGTGTCTTAGAGTTGAAGACGTGGTATTTAATTTCCCTGAATATCTTTTTTAAAGCTTAAGATATTCTCTAAGACTTAAAAAAAGATAATCTATACTTTCCAAGGAAAGCACACCAAAAAATCAGCTACAAAATAAATGACTGTATACATGAGTCTAATAGACTTTCTTTGATTTGAATAACTGACACATACTGCATACTCATTATAAAGGATCAAATTATACAAATGGAAAGAGACCAAAATCTCAACATCCCTGGCACCCCAAGCCAGAGATTATTTCCCTACCCAGAGATTACTATCAAGAGTTTAAAGTATGTGCCATTTCAGTCATTTTCCCTGTGCTTCATAGGTACATATATACATGTGTAATTTTTCCAATTCCTAGGTTTTGTACTACTAAAAGTATTTTTTCCAAAAGTTGATTTTTTTCACAATATGTATACTTGCTAAATATCAATATGACAGCTTTCTGGTTGGGCACGGTGGCTTACATCTGTAATCCCAACGCTTTGGGAGGTCGAGGCAGGCTGACTCAGTTGAGGCCAGGAGTTCAAGACCGGCCCAGCCAATGTGGTGAAACCCCATCTCTACTAAAAATACAAAATTAGCCAGGCATGGTGCTGTGTGTCTATAATCCCAGTTACTTGAGAGGCTGAGTGAGGTGAATCACTTGATCCCAAGAGGGAGAGGTTGCAGTGAGACGAGATTGTACCATTGCACTCCAGCCTGGGAGATAGAGATTCTGTCTCAAACAAAACAAAACAAAAAAATAAATTAATAAATTAATATCAATATCACCACTTTCTAATGTGAATTATTGAAAGAATTGATCATTGCCATTATCACAAAAATAAATTCCATTCTAAGAGTTGATTTTTAGTTCTCATACTAAAATGTATCTGAAGACCTTGTCAAGTGAATATATGGAGATTTTCTTCATTCTTCAAAACAGCAGCAAAAATATTTTGTAGTATGAATTTGCCATAAGTCATTTAATCAAATTTCTCTCAGTGAACATTGAGATTCTGTATGGCTTGTTATTATTACAAACACTGTTAGGACAAATGCCTCGTTGTATGCCTGCTATTGGCATAAGGATACCTTAAGTAGGAATTGTGGCTCTGGGCATCAGAAGCCACAGTTACTTTGGACTGTGTTTCAAGAGTACTTTTGGCCAGGTGTGTTGGCCCACACCTATAATCCTAGCATTTTGAGAGACCAAAGCATGAGGATTGCTTGAGGCCTGGAGTTAAAGATCAGCATGGGCAACATAGAGAGACCCTGTCTCAACAGAAATATGAAAAAATTAGCCAGGCATGGTGGCACGCCTGTAGTCCCAGCTACTTGGGAAGCTGAAGCCGGAGGATCACTTAAGCCCAGGAGGTTGAGGCTTCAGTGAGCTGTGATCACACCACTGCACTCTAGCCTGGGTGACAGCAAGACCCAGTCTCAAAAAAAAAGACAAGAGAGTGCTTTTTACATATCTTTGCCAATGGTTATTATCATCTGGGTTTTTTATCACTGTGTCTGTATGATGAATGAAAAGTTGATATCTTGTTGTTTTCATTTGCATTTTCCCAATTACTTCTAAGCTTGAGCATTGACTGTTTTTCCTTTGCAAATTGCCTATTCATTACCCATTGCCACTTTTTAAAAACTGATTTGTAGGAACTCCTTAACTCTTATTCATTTATCTATTATATATGATGCAATTACTTTCTTGCAAACCTTTTTATCTGCCTTTTATACTAGCAAAGTGTTTAATTTTTCTGTCAGAGAACAAAGATCTTTCCTGCTCCAACGTTCTAACAATGTTCTCTGTTTTATTCTAATTCTTTTATACTTTTTTTTAGTCGTAGATTTATGATGTAGGATTCTAGTTTTCTTCTTATCAATGGTCAGTAAGTTGTTATAATACTATCAGTGTAACAACCCATTCTCCCCACCACTGGTTTGAAGTGTCAGTAGTTGAGTTTTTCATAAATACCTGGATTTGTTTCAGGACTCTCTATTCTGTTTTCTGACATGTTTATCTAATTCTTTCCCAAGAACTCATTGTTTAAATCAGAGATCAAGAAGCTTTTTCAGTGAAGGATTAGACAGTAAATAGTTAAGGCTTTGTAGGCAACACCCCAATGAATGAAATGTGGCATCTCATTGGTGGAATCCACACGAGAACCCATATGAAGTTCCCAGGCCTCTAGCCCTTTTATTCAGCACAGGGGAATTCAGCTGAATAGTTTGTTCAGTATGTACCTCCAGTGGCATCCTGACAGCCTTAGAGTAAAATGCACAGTGCTTACAATCTTTGCATATAATCCAGCCAAAATAATGCAGACCCAAAATAGAATCATACACATATATGTTATGAATAGGTATCATGGTATAAGTACAACTTTTGATATAACTGGGCACATGCCAAAGCAGTTTTGTTGTGACTCTTCCGAAAATATTGTACGAGTTTGTTCTGTTTTGTTTCCTATAGATACTTAAGTGCAAGCAACAACTTGACTTCTGAGGTAAAATTGAGACTTTAAATCATTAGTACAATAAGTTCATTTTTTAGCTCTATTGAGGTATAATTGACAAATAAAATTGTATATATTTAAGGTAAACAACTCGATTTTTTGATATTGTGAAATAATCACCACAATCAAGCTAATTAATATCTCAATAACCTCACATAGTACCATTTTCTTTTCTTTTCTTTTGTTGGTGATGAGAACATTACCTCCTAGCATATTTCTAAATATCTAATCTCTTAGCAAATTTCAAGTATACATTATTGTTAACTAGTCACATTTCTGATCACCATGTATTTTCATTCACACACATATGTGTACACACACACACACACACACACACACACACAGAGCATAGACTGTACTGAGCGAACTAAACCAGACACAGAAAGAAAAATACTGTATGTCACCACCTATATGTAGAATCTAAAATTGACACACAGAAGCAGTGAGAAGAATGTCGGTTGCCAGGGGCTGGGGGAGGGGACAATGGGAGTGTGTTAGTCAAAGGATACAAAGCATTATTTATGCAAGATAAATAAGTTCTGGAGATCCCATGCACAGAAACATGACTTACAGTTAAAATTTTGTATTTGGAAAATAGGCTGGGTATGGTAGCTGAGGCCTGTAATCCCAACACTTTGGGAGGCCAAGGTGGGCCGTTCACCTGAGGTCAGAAGTCCGAAACCAGCCTGGCCACTATGACGAAACCTCATCTCTACCAAAAACACAAAAATTACCTGGGTATAGTGGTGCCCACCTGTAATACTAGCTACTCGGGAGGCTGAGGCAGGAAGATCGCTTGAACCTGGGAGGCGGAGGTTACAGTGAGCTGAGTTCCTGCCACTGCACTCCAGCCTGGGCAACAAGAGTGAAACTACGTCTCAAAAAAAAAAAAAAAAAGAAAGAAAGAAAACAAGAAGTATATTATTTTTCACTCAAAAAAATACATTATTATCTATCATGTAGGGCACAGAATTTCAAATTTAAATGAAAAAAAGGTGTTTTATTTAGGACCACTGTAGGATTTGCATGGAGCTATTTCATTTCTAGATCTTTTCGCCTTGGCCAAGAAAGAAAGAATTAGTGATTTTACAAAGTGTAGGAGCATTGCAGATTTTAATAATGCCTTTTATCAAAAAGCTCACTATGAATACTGATAATTTGTCTTGTACCAATGAAGCAAGACTCCTTGAGTTTCCTATTTCTATTATAACAAACTGGCAAAAACTTAGTGACTTCAGACAACACTCATTTATTATCTAACATTTCCAGTGGTCAGAAGTCTGAAATCTGTGTCACTGAGCTAAAATCAAAGCATCAGCAGAGCTACCATCATACTGAAGGCGCCAGGGAAAGATTTATTTTCTTGCTCTTCCCAGTATCTAGAGGCGGCCACTGTTCCGTGGCTCATGGCTCACATCACTGTGACTTCCACATCCCTCTTACCCTTCCACATCTGCTTGGACTCTCCCACCTCCTTCTTTCCCTTGTGATTATATTGGGCCTGCCCAGATGATCTCCTACCTCCAAATCATTAATCACATTTGCAAAGTCTCTTTCCATAGAGGTAACATAGTCACAGGTTCTGGGAATTAGGGCACAGACATCTTTGGGGGTGCCATTATTCTACCTATAACCAAGAGTGTTACTAATTTTCTCACAGAGTGCACCTCTTTTAACCCCCATCTGAGCAAATTTGTATTGACAGCTGGGCTTTGCAATTCGTTAATGAGACAATTAACGTTTGAGATGATCATCATTTCTAGTGTGTAGGAGCTAAAACTGTTTTTGGAATTTTAGGTGCAAAATCTCCAAAATGACTAATAAACAATGGATTTAAGCCCTTATTAAGATTGAAGGGGCAATTTGACCTCACAAGGAAACTTGATTTAACTGTGGGTTCTGAGTCACCAGTACCACTAAATTAATTAGCTGAATACTTCTGAGAATTTCCTCATTTTGTCTGGGTATTGAAGGACATCATATATAATAAAGTCAATTGATAATGAACTTGGCTATTTTCTATTCTCTGTGGACTTCATTTGGAGTCACAATTCCCTAGACAAACACCACCAGACATTTCTGCCTCATTCTTCAAATATCAAAAG